AAAAAAAAAAAAAGAAGAAGAAAGCAAAATCTGTGGCCTGAGAGGGTCTCAGAAGGAAATGCAAGACCAACAGGGCCTGGCTGCATCTGTCCCTGCTGTCCTCCGCGGATGTTTGCCAGATCTGCGCTGGGCACGTGGCTTTTCACACTGCTCAGCTCTTCTAATGCACCTTTTCCTCTCCAGCTCTCAACCACCTATCCATCCCTCAAAACCCACTGCAGATTGCCCTTTTACACAGTAGCCTTCAGTTGGACCTTTGCCCCACCTCTCCTGTGATCCAGCCTTGAAGTCCCAGGATCAGGCAAGTCTGTGGCTAGCTCCGGACCAACTGACAGAGAATCCAGCAGAGGCACGGACTTGAACAAACTCTTGAAATCCATGGAGCACAGGGGTGCGCGCCTGTGATCCCTGCTACTTCAGAGGCTGAGGCAGGAGGGTTGCAAGTGTGAGCCCAGCCTGGGCAGCTTAGCGAGATCTTGTCCCAGAATAAAACTGAAAGGGCTCTGTGGTGAGGACTTGCCTACTGTGTGAGGCCCTGGGTTTCGTCCCCAGCAAAAAAGAAAGGAAGGACAGACGGAAGGACGGAAGGCAGGATGGACAGGAAAGGCAGGGCTGCCGTGCCAGAGGAGAAATCCGGGAAGGCTGCTCAAGAATGGAGCGCTTGAGAGCTGATGTGACCCCAGGCGCCGACCCGGTCACCCCCACTTCCAGATGGCTGACGGAGGCCGGCACCCCAACACCCAGGCCACAGCACTGCATCAGCATTAAAACGTTTTAGACAAAAGGCAGAGGGGACGTTCTGGGTGACAAGGGAAACAGCAGGTAAGGACCGGAGGCCTCACCCAGCCGGCCTCTCCGGGCCAGGCATTCTGATACCCTGGGAGGGGCCACAGGGGGCGTGCACTGACCTGCCGGCCGGCCCTATGGTCGCCTCTTCCTGTCCATAGACTGAGAAGGCAACAGCAGAGCCCCCGGGGAGCCAGGCTGGACTGGCTCTGTCCTGTGCTCCGATGGAGAAACTGAGGCCAGGGAAGGTGGAAGTGCTGGAGTCACCCAGCAGGGCTTGGCGGGCTCAGTGCTGGGAGATCTCATACTCGTCGTCCTGCTCAGAGGCCTGCAGGTTGCCGTAGACGGGCTGCACATCCAGGCTGGGGCCCCCGTAGTTCATATAGAAGTCACCCTCCTCAGAAAGGTGAGCCCTGTGGGTGACAGGTCAGCCGTGGGTGGTGGGTTGGACTTGGGGGGCTTGCAGAAAGTTCGGGGCAGCCAGTGTGCCCCAGTGTCCAGAGACTGGGAGAACTGGGTGCAGTGGCACATGCCCAGCACTCAGGAGGCTGAGACAGGAGGATCACCACAAGTTCAAGGCCAGCCTGAGATACACAGTGAGCTCAAAGCCAGCCTGAATGACCAGCGAGACTGTCTCAAAAAAGAAGGAAAGAAAGAAAGGAAGGAAGGAAGGAAGGAAGGAAGGAAGGAAGGAAGGAAGGAAGGAAGAAAAAAAGAGGCAGGGAAACTGAGCTCCAGCCTGGCTGGGGGAAGTGGGAGTCGGTGAGCTGGGGCGGAGCTGCTGAGTCAGCATGGGAACCTCCAAGCCTGGGGACCTGGGGGGAGGGTGACCCTCCTTCCTTAAACCCGGGTGCTCGCCATGCTTGTGTCCCAATCAAGATTCAGTTTCCTCTTGAAACAATGGAAGTGCTGGCCACAGCAGGGCCGCGAGTGCGGGGAGCACAGTGGCTCCTTGGGACAACACAGGAAATAGGTTTGCTATCCTCTTCACGCTGTGCTCGGGACAGAGTCCAGCGCCTCCCACCTGCAAGCAAGCGCTCAACCCCAGCCGCATCCCCAGGCTCTTTTAAAACTATTTGTTCTGAGGCAGCGTCTCATTATGTCACTAAGTAGCCAGGCTGGGTTTCAGCTTGCGCTCCTCCTGCCTCAGCCTCCCAGAGTGCTGGGGTTAGGGGTGTGCACCACCACACCTGACTCTGGGAAGATTATTTTTGAGACCAGGAATTCAAGGCCAGCCAGGACAACATAGTGAGGCCCCCTATCTCTGAAAGGGGGGGAGAAAAGGTTCATTAAATCTATTTTCAGAAACATCTATCAGTCTTTCACATTTTAGTGTGAATTGCTCTGCACACACAGTGCTCCCACAGGGGTGGACAGGACTGGGAGTCACAGTTTCTCTTCTGCCTCACTGTGTGACGTTGGGCAAATCATTCCTCTGCTTCCCAGAGGCTCCATTTCTGTGGCCGCAAAATGTAGGATGGAAAGAACATTGGATTCTGAGCTGGTATTTTGGAGGCCAAGCACGTGGGAGGCTGGACTGGACGTGCTGGTGACAGGGTGACGTAGACACGTAGACAAGCGTCAAGCCACACCTGCCCGCTGAGACCAGCCAGACCACTTCTGCTTTGGGCTGCATTTGCATCTGCTTTGCATATCGGTGGCTCCTTCCTGGGCCCCGCCCCTCTGTCCCAGAAGCCCCACTGCCCATCCTTTGCCCTACACACTCTGCCCAGCCTGGAGGAAGCCACCTCGGGGCCGAGGCTGGGGCCGGGGTGAGGGGAGAGACCCTGTGACCGCCTTAGCACCAGAGGCAGAGCTCCCCAGACGGCTCTGGCTCACATGGGCCGGCCGCTGGGTGCTACCGCGGTCCCCCACCAGACTTTAAGCCCCGTCCTCTCACCGGAGACCCAGAAACTGGGTTTGCAGGTCAGAAGGCCGCAGGCTTGAAACCGAGACAAGAGCTGCGACGTTCTCACCCACAGCCTGGTCCTGCTGTGCATGGAGGGGCTGTGATCACCGGCACACATCTCAGAGACCGAGACCCAGAGACAAAAGTCACACAGCCCGTGCCAGGCAGAGCTGCAAGTGTTGGCTTTGTTTTGTTTTTTGAGACAGGTTTTCTTTATGTAGTGCAGGCTGGCCTCAAACTCACAGAGATCCTCCTGCCTCAGCCTCTGGAGTAGCTGAGACTTATAGGTGCACATCACCAAGCCTGACTGGCACAGCAGGGACTTACCCGCCAAGGGCCATGGTCTCTGGGTCACTCACCCGTGATCCAGCTGTGTCAGGCCTCCCACGAATATGTTCTCGTAGTCAGGTGCAGTGGTGCCGGGCAGTGTGACTCTGGGGACCTTGAGGCTTGGGCCGCGGCTGCTGTAGCGAGGCTGAACACCTGAGCTGGGCCGGGAGCCCTCGTGAGGTGCCCAGCCCTTGCCTGGGCCCTGGATGTTGGCCGAGCGGTGCCCATAGCATCTCCAGACTAGCAAGGCACTGGCCACCACGAAGGCGAGGAGGAGAACGCTGCCCACCACCACTCCTGCAATGGCCCCTGGGGACAGGCCAGGGACACAGCTGAGCTCCAGGAAGGTGGACAGGTTCTGCCAGGTGCCTGTGGCCGGGTGCAGGCAGCGTGGGGGCTCCTGGCCAGAGCAGTTGTCACTCCAGACCCTGTGCCAGGGACCCAGGACACAGCCGCAGTCGGCCCTGAGGTCCAGGCCGCAGCGCGTGGCCAGTGCCGTGTCCAGGCTGTCCAGCCGGTTGTGCAGGATGCTGAGGACCTGCAGCTGCCGCAGGGGCGCCAGGAAGGGTGACGGCAGCTCCCGCAGCCCGGTGCCCGACAGGTCGAGAAGCTGCAGGTTCCTGGCCCGCAGCGGCTGGTCCAGGGGCAGGCGCAGCACGTGGCCACTGAGGTTCAGGCAGCTGCCATTGAACTCGTGGCTCCAGTCCAGGTCTTCCGGGAAGACGGCGCAGGACAGCTCATGGCCCCACAGCCTCTGCAGCAGCAGCAGCAGCGGCCCCAGGAGCAGTGACCAGGCCAGCACGGCCCCCATGCCGGTGGCCTAGGGGAGAGCCGTGCTGAACCCACCTCGGCCCTGCGGCTGCTGCCCTCAAGCCATGGTTGTTATTACTTCTCTTTTAATAGCCCAAGCCAAGAGGGGTGTGGGGGCTCCAGACTGTGTCTCAGCACTCGGGAGGCTGAGGCAGGAGGTTTGTAGGGATCTTGAAGCCACCCTGGACTGGACAGCTAGTCCCTGCCTCAAATACAGCCCAAGCCAGCTCAGGTCATTTCCGATGTGGTAGCAGCGCCTGGCTTGTCACCTGGCTGGCTGGCTCTGCTACCAGCCTGTCTCCCCAGCTGGCGCCCATGGGCTGGGACCACAGCGACCAGCACCTTCTCTGCCAGCCCCCTCCCCACAATCATCTGAGCGCCCTCATTGGCCATGCCGGGCAATATGCAAATGAGCAGTTGCCCTGGAAACAGCCTGGCCCATCCCAGGAATTCCCAAGGAGGCCCCCTGCTCCCGCCCCCCCCTCCACAGGTCCCAGGTCTGTGCCTTGGTCCCGCCTCCCGGTCCCCATCCATACCTGTGGGCACCCGAGGACTTGGGGCTGTGGCTAATCTGGATGCCCCACCAGAGACAGCAAGCTGTGGCCGTTTCTGGGCTCCTCCGTGACTGGGGCGGAACTGTCATCGGGCCGGGTGCAGAGGGGAAGAAAGGAGGTTCAACAACCCGCCCTCCTTCCCGCTCTCAGGGGAGGAGGAGGGGTGGCCCAGGGTCCCACTTCCCTTTTGGTGAAACCCAGAGACCTCAGGCCCTTCATCTGTTCCTCAACCGTGACTGTCTGCCACTGCAGCTCAGGGGACTGGTGACTTGTGTGCTCACTGAGTCACTCAACAAGCATTCATGCTGGGCTTCTGGAGGCCTCAGCCCTACCCAGATCCTCAAAGAGTGCTTGATCTTGGGAGACACAGACACCCCACACCCTGTGGAGCCAGGACAGGGCCAGAGGAGGGAAAGGATCCTGGAAGACTTCCTGCAGGATGAGGAGGAGGAGGGAAAGGGAGCATTAGGGGTGGGCCTTTAACATGTGAGTAGGAGTTTGCCAAACCCGGCTGGACCAGCATCAGTAGAAGAGGAGTGGCAGGTGGGAGGTTAAGAGGAGGAGCCTGGTGAGGCGGAGGGTGCAGGCTTCCCCAGCCAGGGCAAGGGCTCAGCCCCATCCTGGAAACGGTGGGAGCCAAGGTTTGTGTGGAAGCAGAGGGTGCGGGCAGCGTCCCACAGACCAGTGTCACATCCAGCCAGGCCCTGACTCCCAGGGACGTGAGCCTTCCAGAGCCTCAGTCTCCAGGTCTGGGAAAAGGGACAGAAGCTACGGCTTCCGCTAGACTCCACAGAGCGGCGTCTTCCCCCATTTCCGGTCTCCACGCCTCACCTCCTGTCCCTAACTCCAGAAGGGTGGACGGCAGCTCCGGAGGGGCTCGACTCCTGGTGTGCACTCCTGTGCCAGCCAGGGTGGTGCACACCTGCCATCCTAGCGCTCAGGAGGCTGAGATGGGAGGATCTCAAGTTGCAGCCCAGACTGGGCAAGGACCCTGCCTCAGAATGAAAGGTGAAAAGGGCTGGGGGTGTGGCTCTGCCCTGCGGGGTTTAAGGAAGGAAGGGAGAAAGGGGAAGCCTCAGTGGGCAGGGCTGGCCGGGGAGGCAGCAGGCGGCTGTGGGGCCTGAGGCCCAGGCCCAGGGAGGGGACAGCCAGTACCACAGGGACACATCCCCGTCACCCATCTCTGTGTGTCTGTGTGTGTTACTGGGCCTTGAAGTCAGGGCCTTCACACTTTGCCCCCTCCCAGCCCTTGTTACATTTTTAAATTGAAGCGGGGGGGGGTCTCTCTAACTTACCCAAGCTCCGCTCGAACTAGCCACCCTCCTGCCTCAGCCTCCTAGAGTGTGGGATGACAACAGCCCCTGTACTGAGTCTCAGGCAGGGCCACCCCGTCCCTCTTTGACCCCCGAGGGCCCCAGACGTGGCCCAGGCAGGAAGACAGAGTTCTCCCAGGAGGGGGCGGCGAGAAGAGACAGGGACTCTCAGAGACGCGACAGAGCAGAGGGGTCAGGAGCAGGACACACTCCGGGAGTGCGAAGCGGGCACGAGAGCCCACTTCTCCCAGGAAGTTTTGCAGGGCAGAGCCTCGAGCTGGGAGCCACTTGGGTCAAAGTAATCAGCCGAGAAGACTCCGCGTATGGCTACCGGGCTGACACCGGGCCCAAGCCGCCAGGGCGTCGGGGCGGCACCAGCGCCCTCTATCGGTGATGTGCGTCCTCAGCTCAGGGGAGACGCGGCCCCAGGCGCTGCTTGGATTTTATGGGCCTGGCCCTGCCTGCTGCCCTGTGTTTCTACCCAACCTCACCGCCTTGAGTAGGGTCACCGAGTCTCAATACCAGCACTCTGCCAGCGTGACCCCCTCAACTGAGGCCCCGTCACCCCACACCCCAGCCGGCCGCCAACGGGCATTCACCGAACAAACCAGGCCCATCCTCTGCCGCTGTGTGAGTTTCATCAGTGTGGGACCCTCTCTGGGCTGATCTCCGCCTTTGAATGGGACAAGGACAGAGCAAAGAGCAGGGCACAGATATGAAGCCCCAGGTGGCTGTGTGTCTGGGCTGGGGCGTGATATGTTAGGAGACAGGCACCCCAGCTCCAAGGTGAGATGGCCTTGAACTCAGGGAGATCATCCTGTCTCAGCCTCCCAAGTGCTGGGATGACAGGGGTGCACCACCACTGCCGGTGAAGACCGCATTTAAATCGGTGATAGTAAAATTTTAGAAGCCACCAAGTGCCCTGGGGAGGGGACAGGAACAGGAGGCAACCACGGGTGACCGAGCAGGCAGAGTCCCCACTGAAGGCAAATTTGATGGAGTGGCGGGCCACAGGCTCCCTGGGGAGCTAGCAGCCCTGCCACAGTGGGAGGACAGCTGGTCCCCAGGGACAGCACAGGTCTTGGCTGGCACGCTGCCCCCACACGCATGCCTCACCTCCTCCAGAGGCCTCCGGGTGCCCCTAAATTCTCGGGGACACCGAAGGAAGACATGCATCACAGCCAGCGACATGCCTGTTCACCCCCCTCACACAAGGTCTCACTCAATCCCTAAATTGCCCAGGCTGAGCTGGAATTTACGATCTTCCTGCCTCAGCCTCCCAGAGCGCCAGGGTTAAAGAAGTGCACCTCGCCCCAGTTTAAGCACTTTAGATAATCCTCACAGCAGCAGCCTAATGACTTACTTAGGACTAAGCCACAGCGTCTGGAGGTGGGGTGCACTTACCTCCATCTGACAGATGGGTGAACTGAGGCACGGGTGTGTATGTAGGGAGCTGGCCCAAGCTCACAGCGAGTGGGGCTGAGCCAAAGGGCACAGGCTTCCCTGTACCTGCCCGGAAGGGCTGCAGGATTCCACTCCCTCCACCCTGAGGCCGTACTCCAGGAGGTAGGGCGGATGCCTAGGGCAGAGCCAGGCCAGGGAGAGTGACCGTGTTCCCACCGGTGACAGCTTGCTGCTTTGTTTGATAGGTTTTACTTTTGATAAGAATGGGCCTTGGGCCAGGGAGGTAGCTCAGTGGTTCCACCCCCTGCCTTGCAAGCAGGACCGGAGTTCTGACCCCTGGTACCAACCAACCAACCAACCAACAAAAGTGTGTTTCTTGCAAGGTGTTTGTGTGTGTGTATGTGTGTGTGTGTGTGTGTGTGTGTTTCTCTCAATGTATTGCAGGCTAGCCTAGAGCTCTCAGCGATCCTCCTGCTTCAGCCTCCCAAGTGCTGGTATTACAAGCATGGGGTACCACACCCGGCTCATAAATATACGTCTGAAGATGAGTTAACAACAAATGCAAGATCAAGGGAATCTGACCAGATTCTACCCTGGAATTCGGGGTGCGGCGGGGTGTGTTACTCCGAAGGAGGCATTGGTCTGGGATCCTCAGGCGCTAGGGCTGTGTCTCTGGCGCTACCTTACGGCCACTGTCGGAACTGCATGTCCAGGCCGCCTAGGCGAGGGGCAGAAGCGCACTCCTTGCCGCCGCGCCCGCTCCTGGCCAAGCCGCCGCAGCCCAGCTCAGAGGGGAGTTTATTGAGCGCTACTATGTGCCCGGATGTGCTTTAGGATAGAGGGATGCGGAACTGAATAATACATTCAAATCCGTACTCTCTGGGAGTGCAGGAAGTTCCTGGGGACGCAGACTACAGACTCGTGAAGCTAATCAATGAGTGCGCGTCTGTCTTCTCAGCTACCAAGGAGGCTGAGGCAGAAGGGTCGCAAGTTGGACTTTTGGAATGAGGGCGCTGTCTAGGAGGTCACCCCAGGAAGCCTTCCTTGCCTCGGATGGGTCTTCATAGGGGACACCAGCTTCCAGGCGAGCTAGCAGTGATGGGGGTGGAGGGCGCCCTTCCCCAGACGCTACCTTCCCTGGGGCTGCGGGATGAGTTCCGGGTGACCAGGGACAGGGACGAAGGGCTCCCAGCGCCTGGTCCTGTAGTGGGGTCGCAGGCACAGGGCAGAGTGCTGGCATTGAGTCATGGGCCACGGAAAACGCTAGGGAGGTAGGAGCGCCTGCGGCTCGGCTGAAGTGCAGTGAGGACAGACTCGTGGGTCCTGGCAGAGGCTCCGGGACTCCCTTGACTTTTTTCTTTCGCTTGCTGCTCCCTCACAGCCTTGCAGGCTTTGGGGTCGCCGCCTGGAGGCCCAGAAAGGTCACCGGACTTACTTGCGGCAGCTGGAAGCCACGAGGCACGGCTGGGCTCCAACTCAGGCTCTGCTCTGGGTGCTGGATCTTGGGCACAGTCCCCACCTTGGAACCTGGCCTGGGGAGGACCTTCGGTGCTGTCCCCAGCCCAGGCCAGTTCCCCACCCCCCCGTGCGAACCCGACCACTGTCTGCCTCCACCAGTCGCTGCGGGTGCCTCTCCAGTTATTCGGGTTTTAATTTTTGTGTTGCATCTAGAAGATAACCCATAATTACAGCTTCTGTGAGGAGATGGGTCTCGGAGTGCGGCAGGCTCCCACACACAGCTGGGCAGGGACAGCAAGGCCACCAGCCGTTCCCGTCCCCTGGGGCCCACTCCGGAGAGGTGGCGATGGCTCCTGGCTGCCCTCCCTAGAGTGGGACAAATCCACCCACCAGGTCCCACTGTTCTGTCCTGGGTGCGTCTCTGGACAGTGACACAGGCTGGGACAGGTGACAATCAACTGTATCAACTGTGGTAAAGCCTGCCAGGGTTAGCACGGAGGCAGCCATGGGGAGGAGGTGGCCCGGGAGACAAAGGGGGGAGGGGAGGAGGAGGGGAGGAGGGTTTGGAGCCTGGGAGACAGGACTGGTCCCAGGGATGGGCCACGGGCTGCGGGGTGGACCTTGAGGTCTCCCCTGAGCCACCTGCACCTGCCAGCCCAGACGACCCCAGCCACCGCACACGGGCTCGCAGGGCTGACTGGGCACAGACAGGTGTAGTCTGAGTTGCCCGTGCTGGGCTTGAACTTGCAGTCCTCCTGCCTTGGCCTCCCCAGTGCTGGGATCACAGGACCCCTGCTCCCGGAGATGCAGTCTTCCAGGGAGACAGCGGGAAGAGCAGGCTTTCAGGTTTTCTTGTTTGGTTTTGCTGCGGATGGGACCAGAGCCTCATGCATTCGAGGCCAGCGCTCACCATCGACCTGAACCCCATCCCATCTTTCGAGGTTTGTTTTGGGGATGCAGGGCTCCAGTTTCTATGTATGACCTGCTGTGGTGAACAGGAATTCTGGTTTCTGGGACAGCTTAGCAGAGACAACACCACAGATGTGGAGAGATCTCGCTTCTGAGCCTGCCACCTGCCTCACTGTCACAGCGCCACACTTTGGGGGGCACCAACTCTGAAGTCCAGGCAACCTGACCCTTCTGTGGGCCTCCACGCCCTCACCTGTGCCTGTCCCAGGGCCTCTGCGAACACTGTGACTGCCGCAGACTCACCCCCAATAAAAACATTTCCTCCCCCTTTCTCTCGTGGGGGCGCTCTGTGCACCCCGGTTGCGCGTGGGCGCAGCTCCACTCCCGCACACCACGTGGCGCCCAGAGCTGGCTCCCTGCCGACTGCTCCACGGATGCGGACAACCGACACAAGCAGGCGGCGGGCGGTGTTTGGGAAATCCTTCCCGGTTGCCATGACAACCCGCCACAGCTCCAGCCCGCGCCTCCCCCTGCCTGCTGCGCCTCCTGGG